TCGAGTTGAATTGAAAATATACCACTGAGCATAATACAATTTTATTATATTAGAAGAAATTTTTTCACTTTCATAAAAGAGGAATAGTATTAGTTAACATTAGAATTGTGTAATGTATTTGTAGCGTGTGAACACAAATGTAATGTAAAATAATAGTTATAAAAAACCTACAAGCTATGTGTTGGTAAGGATGCACCTGTAGAGTAATATGTCAACAACTTTGGTTTTTTTACAAACAATTTCATAAGCTGTTTGCATATTGTCATCGTAAAGGCATTTACTCTAAATTTTCACTAACCTGTTATGCTTTTATTCTAATTGAATCATTGAGCAATCCCACAGTCATTTTATATTAATATTTTCAACTATAGTTAATGCCCTTATTCTTTGTCAACATTTTTATTCTCTTTTTCATTTATTTTATGTCTTCAATTATCGAATACGTGTACATATTACATTTAATTTTTGACAATTCTTTAGTTATTATTTATACGAAATTAGATATCTATGCAGATTTCAGCTCTAATTTATAATTCAAGATTTGTGATGAAGAAAACAATCGAGGATTGTTTGATTTACAATGTACACACATACATATGTATGATGTATATATGCACTGGTTCATAGGCAGACATAATAGAAACATAACCTACTGTAACAGTGCATCTTTAAAAATTCTTCTCCTAAGTTACTACCCATATACATACAGACTACACTATAAATAAATGTCACTCATTCCGTGTAAACCAATTTTTGGATTCTTCATGCTTTTTTGTTTGGCTAGAAATATTAGCGCGCAAACTTATAGAAATATGAGTACTTTTGCAGGTATTAATTCTGTGGTTTATGTTACCGTTCCAACGCAAGAACTTGCTAAAAAATTAGCACAGTAAGCTTTAAGAAACTAACTTGCGATGAAATCAGAATTTTTCTACTATGCTATTTAATTTTCAAATTGTCATTTCGCAGTGGTTTGGTGCAAAGTAAACTGGCCGCATGTGTTAATATTATACCCGAAATTAAATCTATGTAAGCATTATGTAGATACGTAATATAGGTATACATTTATATTTAATAACTTTGAGTGGTATAACAAAAATAATCACCAATCATTTTTAGATATGAGTGGAAGAATGAAATAAATGAAGACAGTGAATTACTAATGGTATGGATGTATAAAGTCAGTAAGGAATATGGTAGAATTAATACACGCATGTTTCTACATAGTATTATTCTTATTACAGATGATAAAAACAAGAACTGATACTGTGGATGCTTTAACCAGATATGTTAAGTATGTTCAAAATCTTTTATTTTAGTATTAATCGGCTGTCATAATCTAAAACTCTTTTGTACAGGGCTAATCATCCGTATGAAGTCTGCGAGGTAATTTCTTTACCAGTAAGTAATATTCCAATACAATGCGGTCTTTATAATTCATAGCTTTCATAAGAATTTATAACGTTATTAAATATTTTGTAGATACAAAATGGAAATGAAGATTATCTTCAATGGGTCAGTAATATAAAAGATAAGAAAAGTTCTACAAATTAATTGACAATAGCTAAAAAGTTAAAATAAGTCTCTTATCTCCAAATAAACCGGCATCAAATGTTTCACTGTCACTATCAATTTTACTCTGTAAAAGAATATATATTATTTTAACAAAAGGCAAGCTTCGTCATATTTACGTTATAAATGACCATTATAAACGAAGGACTGACCTTTCTGTAATAATTCTATAATAATGAAAAGGAGTCAGAACGAAATCGGTATTCGTTGTAGCTTTCTTTCTTACAGTAAAGGGACTGTTTGACAGCTTGATCCGTTCGCAAGGGTACATATAGAAATGTTCTTTGATTTGATTGGCTGACGATTCACTGCTGATACAGGATCCACTGCGGATTGGATGTGCGGTAAGATGGTGGGGTTAGACAAGTTATGCCCTTCGTGGATTCCCATTGATGCGACAAGAAATGATTTTCCGGCCTATGTATTCTATAACTTGCGTCCTAACGTAACTCCTCGTAACGTTCCTCACGTTAACTGTAACTCATGTAACTGGTCTGTGATAGTAACGTGACGAACGTGGTTCGGAAGTAATTATCTTTAAATGTTTTAGAAACCAATTTTGGGTAAATTTATATTTTATGAAATTAACTTTATTTTTTTAGTTATTAGAATCATGTCACACATGTCATTAGTTCACACATGTCACAGAGAACTCCAAAAAAGTTATTGAAATATAGATGTTGTATCCGGGAAGACTTCTTTGTTCATCAACATAGAATTTTATAAAGCAGTTTGAAACACCTTAGTAATATGTTTATACGATACGTAATTTAAAACATATATTTATCATGATCATAATTCTTGAAATATTTCTAGAAATTGTTTTATGTTTTAAACTTTAAAGTACTGAGAGACTTAATTTGTTTGTTAACGATGGATGGAGTGTATATATACAGTGTTATATTAAATCTTTATAAATTAAACATTAAACATCTAAATAACAGATATTGCATACGTAATAATGAATTTAAATATTATTTCAGTGGCATATAAATGACAATTCGTAGCTTTTAGAAAGAAACAATTCTATTACCATAAAAATTTCATTGTACTAATACAGAATTTACTTTGGATAATACTTATATTATTAGCTGTCTCCTATACACATCTAGATGTGTATAAGAGACAGGGATAATACTTATATTATTAGCTGTCTCCTATACACATCTAGATGTGTATAAGAGACAGGGATAATACTTATATTATTAGCTGTCTCCTATACACATCTAGATGTGTATAAGAGACAGGGATAATACTTATATTATTAGCTGTCTCCTATACACATCTAGATGTGTATAAGAGACAGGGATAATACTTATATTATTAGCTGTCTCCTATACACATCTAGATGTGTATAAGAGACAGGGATAATACTTATATTATTAGCTGTCTCCTATACACATCTAGATGTGTATAAGAGACAGGGATAATACTTATATTATTAGCTGTCTCCTATACACATCTAGATGTGTATAAGAGACAGGGATAATACTTATATTATTAGCTGTCTCCTATACACATCTAGATGTGTATAAGAGACAGGGATAATACTTATATTATTAGCTGTCTCCTATACACATCTAGATGTGTATAAGAGACAGGGATAATACTTATATTATTAGCTGTCTCCTATACACATCTAGATGTGTATAAGAGACAGGGATAATACTTATATTATTAGCTGTCTCCTATACACATCTAGATGTGTATAAGAGACAGGGATAATACTTATATTATTAGCTGTCTCCTATACACATCTAGATGTGTATAAGAGACAGGGATAATACTTATATTATTAGCTGTCTCCTATACACATCTAGATGTGTATAAGAGACAGGGATAATACTTATATTATTAGCTGTCTCCTATACACATCTAGATGTGTATAAGAGACAGGTTGTATGTTATTCCAGAAAAAATTAAGTGGTATGCATTTTTGTGATAAGCACCGATTAAAGAAATTATCACATTACATTAAAAATGCAAAAGGAAGTAAACAATATAATAGCAGAATCGTTGAAAAAGGCATGTGATCATGACAGAACTGGAAATGTAGGAAAGGCATATGCATATTATACAGTTGTAGCTGAATTAAGTCCATCAAAGAGATTGGAGATCGAAGAAGCTTTTGTTAACGTACTTTGTATGTTTATAATATACATTTGATGCTCTCGTAATACAAAAATTATAAATATATATTTTTTAGGTCAATGGGGAATGCAACTTGCATGTGATCATAGATTTGCAGATGTTGTTTTATGTTACACGCGTTCTTTAGATATTTATCCAAATAATCCACGTATGTTAAATAATTTTGCAGCTCATCTTTTAAGGTAATTTGCACTGGTGATTTCGGTAAATGTACAACTAGTTGATTTAAAATTGATTTTTTAACGTGACAGATATCATGACCGCTAAAATTCCATATAATGAGGATTAAAAATATATTGTTAAAGGAATAATGATCCAATAAGGGCAATAAGATATTTAAAAAGAGCTCTGCAAGCCAATCCAAATTTTCTACCAGCAGAAAGAAATTTACAAAATGCATTTAGTATGGCTGTAGATAGGTGGCACTTTCCAATGTTGAATGATAAACAAAGGAATAATGCTTTTGAATGTGCAATACGAAAGAAAATTTCTGAAGGATATGACACAGTATTAGATATAGGGACTGGAACAGGGTTATTAAGTTTATATGCACAAAGTGCTGGCGCTAAAAAAATTTATGCATGCGAATATTCAGTGGCAATGATAAAAATTGCTGAGAAAGTATTTGAAAGTAACAATCCTAAAGATATAATTTTATTGCCCAAATTATCCACAGATCTTACAATACCTGCTGATATTACAGAGAGGTCAGTCCTTCGTTTATAATAGTCATTTGTAATGTAAATATGACGAAGCTTGCCTTTTGTTAAAGAAATATATATTCTTTTACAGAGTAAAATTGATAGTGACAGAAACATTTGACGCCGGTTTATTTGGAGAACGTGTAATACCATCTTTATTAAGTGTTCACACAAATATCTTAAATAGAAATGGTATAATAATACCAATGAGTGCTACACTTTATGTAGCTGCAGTGGAATGTGAATATTTGAGAAACAGGTCATCTGTAGATTTTGAACAAGTAAAGAATTCCTGTCCTTTAATTTTTGATAATATATCTATATTATTAGACGATGAATATTATGATACGGAACATTTGAAAAATGTGAAAGTTAATTATATTACAGAACCTAAAGTTCTATTCACTGTAGATTTTAATGATATAACGAATTTACACAAATTTAATGTGGATGGAGTAAAGAGTAAGATAAATGTAAAATGTGAATATGACGGTATTGTAGATGGTTTGGTGAGTTGGTTTAAGTTACACCTTGACGAGGAAATAACAATTGATACATCGGATAGAAAAACCTGCTGGCAAACTGCTGTTTTCCCAGAAGTACCTACGCTATTTAAGCAAGGAGATGTATTAACAATTCATGGAGAAATATTAAAAGGAAAATTAAAATGTTCTTATGCAACAAATATTGCTCCAGATACCAATTATAATGAGAAGAAATTTTTATATCATTTACCGAAAGAAGTTATAACATTTTTAAATGACTTTGAATATATGAAATTACTTACTGAAGTTAGTAAGTCATTAACCAATAAAGAAATCAATAGTATTTTGGATACATCTCCTTTTCCAGTTTATGGACTAATGTTACTAAAGGAAAATAAATACAGTCAAATTTTATATTATAAAACTGAAAATAAAGTGCTTCGTCTCCTCATAGAAGAAATAGCAAACCAAAATGGCTTTAAGGAGAAAATTTGCATTATAGGAAAATACAATACTATTAAAGTTTCATTAGATAAATTATTTGTTCATGATTTTGACATTAATGGAGAACTAAAAGATCGTGATCAAGAACACAGTCACGAATTCT